AATTCTTCTGGTGTCGGGGAATTCTGTTTTTCCCTGTCGCGACGACTTGTCGATGTGAAGCTAGCTGCTTCCGGGTTCAGGGATGTTTGATAGGGCTCCTTCTTCACTGTCGGGCCGTCCTGAACTGGTCACTTCTTTCCCCCTGATGCTCACTAGTTGGCGGCTCAAAGGGTAGACGGATCCTTGGCTGTGGCTGACCGTATGCCTCAAAGTTGTCAATAACCTTGAGCTTGGCTTCCTCTTGTGCCATTTCGGTTCTAACCTCTAGCAGCTCCTGCTGCCTTCTGAGCTCCATCTCTTCTCTTTTTATTTGGAACTCCCTCTCTTGCAGTTTCATCTTCTGGTCCAAGGCAGCCGCCTTTTCCCTCAACTCAGCCCTTCTTAATTCTGCTCTCAGCCTAGCGCTTGAGGCGACACTGGAACCTTGCGAGCATGCTTGTGACACACTGTCGGACGGTTTGATGCCCGTCTCTTCTTCTTTCTCTGAAGTCAGGTTAATCCACTCATGAACCATGTCCCTGAACTGATCTAACTCTGCAAAGCGTGGTCCTACCCATTTCTCTGTGTCTTCCTTCAGCTGATCTGCATCTAGAGTGGTCTGGTAATCACCACTGGCCTCTTCAAGGTCACAGTAGGCCTTCTGCCACTCTTCCATACCCTTCTGTACCTCAGATAAGTCGTTCCGTTCCATTAACGATTTTAGCACGTTTGATTTGTGCGTTAGTCGGCCTAGGACTGCCGATCTGTGAGTCTTCTTTCTTCTACTTTCTTCTTCACTGACCCAGTCAGCTTTCTTAGGTACTCGTTTTTGTAAACCTTCTGTTTCCTCCTCTACATGTCTGTCTTCTCTGACTGTAGAGCGGTCCTCGTCTGACTTCTTATCAGCCATTTCCAAACGGCTCCAATTGTTTGCTGCGAGAGGCCTAACTTACAACTGCTTAATTTGTACTCCTTTATTTGAGTCCTTACGGTATTCCACAGTTCTCCTGTATGATTCAGCACAGGCCTCTAGAATTTCTTCTAGCCTAACAGGCACCACCTGCCATGTCAATCATGTAGCTTCCAGTAAGTGTACTCGTAAACTACAAATCTTTTCCAACAGTTCCGATAAGTTTGCTGTTGAACCTGTGTGTTCAAGTGTGCTGCACAATACGATGATACTCAATGGTCTTGCACTTGACAGTTCCTCATTTTACTGCTTTTAGGTGGAATAGTCCTTCTTGAATTTGCAGACTTACGGTAGTCTTCTTGCAGTGTGTGTGGAAGTATGACCTTCACATCTGCTTAAGCCATCTGGCCTGTCAATCATGTACGACTAATTAAACTTCTCCCAAATGTCCGTATGGGAGCCTTTGTATGCTATGATCCTATGGGTTTTTCTCAACACAGTGT